GCTGATCCCTTTTTGTGATCTTTGTTCAAATCTGTTTAGACTTGCTGATAAGACTGATAAGAATCTTACAGCTCAGGTTTTCATTTGTACACTTGTTTGGACCCCAGGTGCCAGTTCTGGAGGTGCTGCTTCTGGAGGATCTGGCGGCCTCTTTGGTGGTGGTGGCTCAGGTTCTAGCAGCAGTCTCTTTGGAAGCAGCTCGCTTGGTGCAAGCAGCGGCGGATTGTTTGGTAGCAGTGGCAGCGCTGCAGGCTTGGAGTTGGAGACATAGGAGGAACTCGGAATCGCAAAAGAAGGGGACGTTCAACTTGTTGAGAGTCAGTGTTTGTGCTCAGGGAGGTGTGGGTGGGAGCCATGTTGAACGCGAGTCAGCTTGGGTTAAGGGACTTTCGAAAAGATAGAGAAGAATCACCAAATAAGCCCCAACTTTTGCCACACATCCAGGTGGCCTCTTTGGTGCCAGCAGCAGCAGCTTCTCTGCAGACAGCTTCTCCGGAGCTAGCAGCAGCGGCATCGGAGGCGCGAAGATTCAGATTTGTATCTGACATTCCTAGGGCCTTGAAGATTGCCAGTTGTAGCAGCGAAGACTTGATGCCGCAATGCCCCTTGATGGCTCTGGTAGGATTGAGTGGAGCTGGCACTTCAGCGACCACTTTGGGAAGTGGAGGCAATGCTGCCATGTTCATCAGACTTCGATCAACTTGAACTGGGTTCAAGATGTTTCAAGCGCCTTGATGGGCAGCACCAGTAAGAGGCACACACCTTTGGTAGTCACTGGTAGTTCAGGGTGCAAGGCAAAGCAATCTTGCCTTATGTAAACATCTCTTCACGCAGCAACATCTCCACACTAAGGTGTGATAAGCGTTATTTCAAAGTCTTAAAGTGTCTTTGTCTTAGCCTCTTATTTTTGGAGTGAAATCCAAATGACATCCGATAGTAAGGTTTTGGGATGCCCGATTGGACCACGCACGTGGACCCCGATTCGCGGAGGCGGTTCGCTCTTCAGTGCAGGGAGCGGATCATCATTTGGAGAAGCTGGGGCAGCCTGGGGCCTAGTAACAAGGTGCCTTACTAGTAGTAACAAGAAGCTAGTAGTAACAAGTGCCACGCTAGTAGTAACAGGTGCCTTACTAGTAGTAACAAGAAGCTACTAGTAGCTCCTGGCATTACTACTAGTAGCAAGAAGCTACTACAATCTTTTGAGGTTTCAGAGACAAGTTTGTTAGTGCTCAAGGTGCCGATCATGAAGCTTTCCTAAATTTGTATCTTCTGGATGTGCTCCTATTGTCACACTTGCAGCATGGAATGCAGCAAATCCAATCAAGGCAAGTGCCACAGCTTTTCGAGGTGGAGAGAGGGGATGGGAAGTGGGTGAGAAAAGGCACAAATAGGTTTTCACTTGAGCCACTTTGCATGGGGCAAAAGTCAGAGGTTGTTAGCAGGCTTGAAAGGTGTTGCCAATGAATCTCTAGTGTTCAGGTATTCCGTCTGAGACTGCAAAGACCGGTCTTACAGAGGACATGAGCAGTGTCTTTTTGCAGATTTATTTATCCCTGAAAAACGGCTTGTTGTACTATGTCAGGAAGCAAAGACAGCACCCTCTGTTGGCTTGGGACTCAAGATGAGAATGCAACATGACATCATGTGCATTGTTGCAACTCTCTAGACACAAAAGCTGGAAGCCTAAACATGTTTGGCGCATTTGGTTTATATATGGTGGCTTATGCGTATACTCATGGATGGCATGGGCTTGAACTGCATGTTGAAGGTATGCCTTTGGAGAGCGCAACTCCTGCACCAAAGGCAGATTCAAAGGACCACAACTTGGTGCACTGGGGCTGAGGTAATCTAAATAATGCCTTAGGTACAAAGGCTCAGTTTTTCCATATTTTGATTACTCCGAATCGCCTCCTAAACAGTGAGCAGGAGCTGAAGTCTAAGCACGCAAATGCTGAAAAGATCCTCGAAGACTTGAGAAAGTCCAAAACAAAGGTGCTCGAGGAGCTTCTCGTCGGCAACTTTTGTTCCGGCGACTTGTGTGGAATGTCACAATGGGTACGGTACTTCTGCCAAATTATGCAATTCTCTGTTTCCGAACCTCAACTTGGCCAAGGCTTCTTCCGTGCTTCGAAGCCTTGGAAAAGGAGCTCACAGAAGTAGAAGGCCACACCCCTGAAACATAGTGAATCGTAGGCATAGGCTTTAATGCTGTTCCCCATCAGGTCTGGAGATCATCAAGCCGTCAAAGCACGCAGACTGGAACTCCATTACCAAAGCCTGCAAAGACCTGGAAGACGACCATGCTCGAGTTCGACAAGACCTGATCCTTGTTATTGAACAGAATGCCAATATGTTGATGGAACAGCCCTTTGGAGATCTCATAGGGATCCATACCTATCATAATAATCATAATATATGACAGTGGTAGCGGGGCCAAAGGTGAAGTCATCCATTCGACATTCTTTTTGCATGAATGTAGCCGCGCCCTTGGATTTCTCAGGAAGGAAATGAATGAATTGGATCGGCCAAAGATCTTCGCCGATCTCATCGATCTTCAGTCTGTGGCCTTAAGACACATGGAACCTCATGATGAAACAGGGACAGGACGCCAACCGTCTAACCTCTCCACAGCTGCATGTGCTTGTCTTAGGGTGGAGACTTTGCAACGCCACACCTGTTTCATGACAGAGAAGTCTCCAGTGCTCCCCTAAGCAAAGATTATTCATTGTTATGAAGCTACTTCGGCACAGCTATCTACAGAATCTCTTGCTTTGAGGTGGATAGTGCAGATACTCCGCACCTGAAAGCCATCCGGAATCGCTGCAAGCAGGTGAACAGAAGTGAGTTTTCACAAGCTGGACCGCTGGACAATGGGTTCGGCATACTGGGATGAGGCATGTGTTTGGCAGGTCGAGGCTGAGCTGTCATTCTTGGAGCAGGATATTTTGGAAAAGTTTCGAAACCAGGCAAGCTGAGAATTCTTGAAACCGGTATACTGCAACCTGCCGCTCTTTGCAGCTTCTGTTTTAGTCAGGCATAGTTCTACCTAGCTGTCCTTACCTGGTGTTCTCAAGAAGATGATCCTGATTCCTGATGTCTCTTTTACTCGTACCTTGTGATCCTAGATCCTAATATCATTCGCGACATCAGTAGATTTGCTGAGTTTTACCAACACTATCCATGACTATTTGTTTCAAGAGACAGTTGCTGTTCAGCAGGTGGACTGGGAAGGGCTGGCTCAACTTCCGACGGACCCGCGAAGCCAGGCCTCAATGAAGTGGAATTCGGGTCCCAAGATTTTTTTGTCTTTAAGTCAAGTATGGTCAATTAGGTTCTTGAGGCCTTACCCGACCATTTGTTCTACTCCATTCCATTCCACCCTTCTATTCTTCTATCTTTAGGACGCAGAAGGTAGCAACAAGCAGTTCTTTACAATTCTTTATTCCCAGTGATGAATAAAAGAACGTAGACTTCAGCTTTGACTTCCTGCTTGCTTCGAGTTGACTTGGAAGACGCAGGCGATGGCTCCCACTCCGCTGGTTGAGGCTGCTTTGGAGAAGCTTCCAGGCGAAGTCTCTTGCTTGGAGTCACAACAAAAGTCGCCAGCGGATTCCATGGTTTCTGAACTCCAGTGCGAGCAGTGACCAAGAGCAGCTCTCAACCAGGATACACAGGGAAGTATGTCCATTTCGAGCCTACCCGCTCGAACATTGCCAGCAGCTCAAACAAAAGTGCTTTGATCACAGTTGCAGACAATTCCAGGATGTCCATTGGACTACTCACGGGTCTTCTGAGAACCCACACCTCCGCTCTTTTGTTGACT